CACGGCGCCGGCGCCTGCTCTTGACTTTCTCTCCCCCACCTCTGTGCCCCCCCCCTTCTTGCCCCAGGCCCCCCAGGCTGCACTTGACGATGACCTGGCGGACTACAACAATGAGCTGCGCATGGGCATCCTGGAGGCTTACAGCGGAATATTCCAGGTGACCAGGGGGCTGGGTGGGCAGACGCGCGCCTTGCCCCCGCGCCTTGACTGCCCCGAGCGCTGCGCGCGGCGGAGCACCCCGCTGCGACGGCGCGAACCGGCGCCGTTGGCCGCGTGCGCCGGCGCGCCGGAGCCTCCCTGCGGGGCTGTCGGCGGCGGGGGAGCGCGCCCACCTGCCAACGCGCGGCCACAGCCTTGTCAGCCCAGGCCCCGCCTGTGGGCGCTGCCGTCGCGCCATCCCCCTGGCCCCACCCCTTGTCCCATCCGCCCCTCCTTTGAGCATCCCTGCGGACCTCCTTCGCCGCACCTCCCGCCTCTTGCTTGACCCCCACGTTCGCACCTACCCCTGGTGCCGCGCAGGGCCTGCCTGTCGGCGTGGCTGACGCGCAGCTCAAAGGGGATGTACCCCACATTTTGGAGTTCTGCAACAGCATCGCCAAGGACCAGGCGCGCACATGGCGGGGGAAGGGGGGAAAGGGGTGGTTGCCGGGCTGCTGGGCTGTGGCGCGCAGGCGGGGACTCGCAGCCATGCGGTGGAGGGGCGCGTGTGTGGCCGGCTGCGGCGCGCTTTCAGGTGTTCTCGGCGCGGCATCTCCTGCATCTTGTGCACACTTGTGCACGTGCGCGTAAATTCACACGTGCACACACACACACGCACGCACACACACACACGCACGCACGCACGCACGCACGCACGCACACACAATCTCATCCACAATCACATCCACAATCACATCCACAATCACATCCACAATCACATCCACAATCACATCCACAATCACACACACGCTCAACCTCAGGTGTATGATGAGCTCGTGGTTCGTGCAGCGGTCAGCCTGCTCGGGGACATGACCACCACCGTGCAGGTACGTTGGGCCTCGGGCCGGAAGGGGTTGCCGCATACAGGCGCGGCTGGAACCACATGTGGCGCGCAAGGCTTTTAGTCGGGCTTGCTCTGGCGAACGGCGGCGGCGGCGGGGCTGCTGAGCTTGGGGGCGAAGACCCGCAAGCTTCAGCCCGCGGTCCCCTTCCTCGCGGCAGTTGAGCCGCCGCCTTTCTGCGGCAGCTGCGGCAGCAAGATTTTGCCGCAGGTAGGACAAGCCTTGGGATCCAAGTGGTCTACGCAGCAGAACAAACTGCCGCTCAAGAGACCCCGCTCACTCCCTCCCACACGCCACGCAGGGCGTCGGCGCGCTGCTGGCCGGCGCGCGGGGCGGCGACTGGGAGCGGCTGATCAGCTGGGTGCACGAGAGCGACGCGCTGGGCGGGGAGCTGGACTGGGCCGTCAACGCCATCAGCACCGCGGTCAGCCAGGCCTCGTAGCCGCGCATTCGCGCGGCACGCCGCGCGCCACCGCCCGCAGCCGCGAACGGCGTTCGCGGCTGCGGCGGCTGAGGCCGGCGGCGGCGCGGCGGGCGGTGGCAGCTGCGTCAGCGACCGCCGGTTGCTTGCGGCGGGGTTGATGCGGCGCCCCGCAGGCGGCGATGCAGGCCGCGTGGTTGCGGCCAGGCTGGCTGGCGCAGCCGAGGTGACGGCCGTGCGGCGTGTCAGAGCAGGGGCCCTCGCGGCTGCACCGCTGCCGTTGCTTTGCTTCGGCAACCACATGTGCCCTTGGTACATGTGCACGCCAGCCAGTGCTGATCCGTACCCCAGGCGCGGCGCCCGGCGGGGCTTTCCGCGTCCAGGGGCGCGCTTCGCCATGGGGAGGCGCGAGCATTCGGGCCCGTGTCGAGCGGCCCGGGCCGTGCAGACCCAGAGAGCGGGGCGGCGGCCTGGTGGCAGTGGTAGTGTCGGCTGTTCTCTTGGGCTTCAGCATGGTGCCATCTGCTCCTAGAAATTTCCCTCTTGTGCATCACACGGGCTCTGTACGCGTTGTTTTTGTGGGCGGACGCGCATGTTACATGTGAGTGTGTATGGTGGGGTATGTGTGTGTGTGCTTCTGTGTGCATGTATGTGTGACTGTGTGTGTGCTGAACAAACGCAAGTCAAGTCAGGTCTTCCGCAGCGCGCGCCGCAGCTTGTGCGGTCAGCAGCAGCAGCGGCGGCAGGAGAGTCACAGGCCGGCTTCGATTCAGCCCGCTGTACCCCTCGCCCCTAGATGGAGAGAAAATGGCGCAGAACAGGTCACAAACACGTGTAATCACTTGCGTTTTTGCAGCCATAATTGGTCAGAGTGGGGTCCAAGGCACAAAGGGGGGGGGGTGACAATCAAAGTGTCGTCATCAAGAAGGGCCAAGAAGGGCCGATCGGGCTCACGACATGTTCTCTTTGTGCAAAAGACCCAGGGTGAAACCTGTCCAATAGGTTCTTGAGGCACAGCCGGTGAGACAGGGAGCGAAGCAGCGACCGTGTGAAAGGCCGCCCACCAAGGGCAGGCCGGCGCCTCCGCCGCCCGTCGAAAGTGCGCGGACGCCGCCCCCGCAGCGACGCGCGGCCGCCTCTGCGCAGCCTCCACGCCGAGGCCGTCAGAACTTGGTCCACCGCCTCTCCGCCTCCCGCTGGTTCACGCTCCTGTGGACCGCCCTGGCCGCCCCCCTGGCTTCCTCCAGCTCGCGCCGCGCCTCCGCGAGCTTCGCCTCGATCTGCCCAGACAGGCCCGCGTTGCCCTTGTTGCGCTGCGCCATCTCCTGCAGCCGCTGGACCCTGGCCTGGGGTGGGGGTGCGGGCGTCGGGGGCACAGCAGCGGGGGCCAAGCACACGATGGGATTGGAGCCCAGGGCGGCAGTTTTTGATTGCTGGGTCAGCGCACGCCCCATCGCACGGCGCGCGTCGCGTGCGAAAGCGGCGCGTGGGGCGCAGGCGCACTGGGCAGCGGCCGCCGAGGCAGCGGCGGCCCCTTCGAGCTACGCCGTCTGAGCCGTGGGGTGGGGTCGGGCGGGCAGGCAGCGCCGCAAAAAGGTGGGCAGCGCACCTTGATCACCGCAACATTGTCCGCGTGCGCCGCCAGCCCCCGCCGCGCCTCCGCCGCCGCCGACCCCGCCGCCGCGCTGCCGCCGCCGCCACCCGCCCGCCCAGCGCCGGCTGGGGCGCCCGCACCGCCG